ACTTACCTGAGGGACTCTACAAAGACTTAAGGCAAGTAAAGTCAGAAATGGAGTCACCTAGAAAACTGGGGGGAAAGGAATTAACCAGGTGTGTCGTTCGGCAGGTCCACATGGACAAAACCAGGGGTCCTCCAACAGAACGCTCCACCTTTCAAACTGTGGGCTCTGCTGTCAGTGCTAACACAGATAATCCTCTGGGGTGAAAGGTGTCGAACGCAACACTGACTAAGTTGTTGAGTGACGGTTACCTTTCTCTCATTGATTGCAACCACCCCCCCATCCCCCTCACACCACTCCCATCCCTTGCACTCACAACTGTGGGACTGAAGTGAAGAGCCATCCGAGGCAGCAGTTTATTGAGGGATTATACTTCCTAGGAACTTTATCAGGAAGAACACATTTAGCATATCTGAAATGGAAAGATATGGTTTCTAAAGGAAAAATTCAAGCCTCCAGTCGCAATATTGAAAGACTATTGGCAAAATATTGAATGATGCAGGACACACCAAAGAAGATGGAAAAATACAGAGGCACTACACCAAAAAGAACGAGTGGATATTCCACCATTTCAAAAGGTAGTATATGAGCAAACACAAAATACATTCAAGCTGTACTGAAAGCATTGCCCTACACAAGCCTCTGGGGATTGAGGGAACAGCAATTGCAATGCTTCCCAAGCTGATGACTCACTTACTTGTCTCTGGCAGGTAATCTGGAAGACACACCAACTGACAGAACAAGGGAACACTGCATAGTTAAAATCAGGAAAGCTGTGTGCCAGGGTTGTAGCCTCTCACCATACTTATTTAATCTGTATGCTGAGCAAATCATCAGAGAAGCCGACTTATATGAAGAAGGGTGTGGTATCGGGATGGGGGAAGGCTTATTGACAACCTTCAATACGCAGATGACACAACTTTGCTTGCTAAAGCGAGGATGACTTGAGGCACTTGCTGATGAAGATCAAGGATTGCAGCCTTCAGTCTGGATGACAACTCACTGTAAAGAAGACCAAACCCTCACAATGGCGCAATAGGTCACATCATGATAAATGGAGAAAAGATGGACGTTTTCGAGGATTTTGTCTTGCTTGGATCCACAATCCATGCTCATGGGCACAGGAGTCAAGAGACCAAAAGATGCATCGTATTAGATAAGTCGCCTGCACAAGACCTCTTCAAAGTGTTAAAATCAAGGATGTTACTTTGAGAACTTAGGTGTGCCTGACCCAAGTCATGATGTTGTCCATGCCCCGTATGCACGTAAAGGCTGGACACTGAATGAAGAAGCCTGAAGAAGAATCAGTGCATTTGAAGTGTGGCGCTGGAGAAGACTATTGGAAGAACAGTGAACTGCGAAGGGCACAAACTGATGTGTCTTGGAAGAAGCATGGCAGAGTGCTCCTCATGGCATAACCTTCTCTCTCCGACGTGAGATACGTTGTCAGGAGAGACCAGTCCCTGCAGAAGGACATCATGCCTAGTCAAGGACATGGGTTGATAGCTCAGCTGCAACAGTGGACTCAGGCACAGGACACTTGTGGGGTTGGCACAGGACCGGGCACTGTTTTATTCTGTTGTGCCTAAGGTAGCTATGCGATCAGAACCGACTCAGTGGCCGCTAACAATGTTACTCTTGGTTGACTTTCCCCCATCATCCCCCTTTCAGAATTTTATACAAAGAGGCATCCAAACTTTTTGGAGTTCCTTCATACTGAATAAATCATGTAAACCTTAATTTTTATCATGTTGCTACCTCAATCAAGCACAGCTTGTGAACGTTAAAAATGGCCCTGCTGTGTCATGTCAGCTGACAAGGCACTCGGCACAGATCTCCTCACGCACTGCTTGTGCTCAGCTTCTTCACGTCACATTCGATCCCCTGCTCTGTGAAGTCCAGGGTTCACGACGGGCACTCACATCTGTGTCCGTTGGTCCCGGCGCCAAGGAGCATCTCTGCTCACAGCACATCGTTCAGCGTCTGTCAAATGGGGAATGTTAGTGAGCCTTTGCAGCCCATGGATTCCAAGGGGGTCTGTCTCTAATGTCTTGTGGTTCTTCTTTTGAGAGAGAAACAGTTCCAGATAAGGAAGAGGCTCGGCCAGTTTTCTGGGAGTGTTCAGTCGGAGCAGCCAGACTGGTAGATGCGGCCTCACTAGAAGACGCTGTGCAGCAGAGGAGCCTCTCCCAGCTTGATGGAAAGGGGCTGATCGCTGAAGAAGCAGGAGACTTGAGACGGGAGCAGCCAGTAAAGGTTTGTTAGAGCCGCGGGAATGGGAGTAAGACCTGGAAGGGTAGGTGGGTTTCGTTAGTGTCGAAATTAGGAAGTGGGCATATTATTGTTCCCAGGGGAATCCCTGCCCACCCTCTGCGGCTGCTCTTCTAGGCCATTTAACGCTGATGATGGCCCCACTTGTCCAGCACATTTCCTTTTAGTATAGGGCTGCCATCTGTTTTTATGCTAAAGCTTTATGGAGACACACCCTTGCCCATTCATGTATGCAGGGTCTATGGCTGATTGCAGGCTATAAAGACAGAGCTAAGTAGTTGTGACAAAGACCACATGGCCCACAGCCTGATAAGTTTACTGGAAAAACAAAGAACTGAAACCCCTCTAGCCATCGTGTGGATCCTGACTCAGCAACACTTTAAGACAGAGTGGAAGCGCCCCCAGGGTTGACTAGGATGTGATCTGTATGGAACCAGACCCCCTGGTCTTTCTCCCAGGGGCGCAGGTGGCGGGGTCAAATGGCCAACATTGTGACTAGCATCTGAGCACATCCACACCCCTCCACCTTAGTCCAGACGCTCCTCAGTCGAGTGTGAAGACCAGTATCTAGAAGTTCGACAACGGAACTGGGCAGAACCATGGATGACAACCTGTGACCTCCCTTCCCGTTTTCTATCTTGTGCTTTGCCCCTGCCCCAGCCCTGGCCTGAGGCCTGTCTGGTGACCGTCGGAGAAATGGAGCGCAGACTAGCCAAGCAGGGCCTGCAGGGGCGATAGGAGGGTGACGCAGGGGCGATGGGAGGGTGACGGCACATCCACGCAGGCTCCAGGCGCTGACCAGGAGGCAGGTCCCTCGGACACCTCACTACATGTGCCGCTCTAGCAATGCTCCTTTGACATTTTAAATATTAATCCATTAGACTGACCATCTAAGGTGACTGCCGGAGCTCCCAAGCGGGGTTCCGGGGGACTCGACTTGTGGTAGAGGGACTGTACGGGGGAAGGCTACGCTCTGCGGCCCAACACCAGAGGACTCAGCTGGTGGCTCACAGGGGGCCCCTCTGCTATTACTGGCCCACTTTCTATTTGCGATGAACGTACCCTCACTCACAGACAGAGCTGTTTACACTGGTTTCACAGGGTTACCAGACACAAACCAGAGCCCCCGAATGTCAAAATCAAATTAGGCTTTGTTTTTGAGGACTTGTGGTTCCTCCATTGCAGTCCACATTGACATTCTCCAGCCCTTCTCTCCCAGAATGGCGTTTCAGAGCAGAAAACCAACCTATTGACCTATCCTCGGGGACACTCTGTTTAGAGAGAAGTCTTGAAGGAAGAGGGGCACAGCTACACTTGCCATTTTAGTCCAGGCTTGCGCGTGAGATCTTGAAGTGAGTTACCACTTCCTTCTGCCTCTCTTCTGTCCTCCTTCCAGGCCCAGCAAGTTTTCAGAACATGCCTTTTGTCTGTAACCTTACAGCTTAGCATTTCCCAGGGCTCCTTCGAGAAGCAAGGGAGAGCCAGTTCCCAAGCCCAGCTGCAGCTCGATGCTGCACACTTTTGAGGAAAGGATTTTGGAGTCACCAGATCTGAACTGAGTTAGTTTATTGTGCCAACCTGGCCGATAAACACATGGGAGGTTAATTGAAGGGTGCAGCTGCCTTAGCAGTTCCCTGCTTCAGCTGGCAAGGCTGACTTCCTGTAAGACATCCCCAAGGAGAAGTCACATGAACCTACCTTGATGCAGCCCTGGGTGCTGGAGCAGCCATGTGGAGACAGACCCCTGCCAGTGCTGAGATGCTTACACATTCACTGATTCTGCTTTCCTCCTGAAGTCGGCATCCTTGCGCCTGTTTTGTGAGATGGAGGAGGACTTTGTGGATTGGTGTTGGACATAATGGGTTAATGGGTTTATGTTGGACTTGTGGGCTTGGGCAGGACTGGGTAGGGATGTTTTCTTGATGCACACTTACCCTTTATATAAAGAGCTCTCTTATACATGAGTTTCTGTGGATTTGTTTCTCTAAAGTACCCAGACTAACACATGAACCTAATATCCCAGCTCTGCCCTTAAACAATGGCTGTTAAGCATGCAATTTAACGTCAAGACTCTCCCATCTGTATACTGGGCACAAAAAAGCATAGCTCCCAAAGTTTGTATGACCTTAAGTAGAATGAAGTCTGCATGTTTCCCAACAGAGTAGAGCTCCACAGGGGTGAGTTCCCATCTCCCCAGTCCACCAGCCGGGCTGGACGTGCTGGGAGACTCCCGGTTTCCGGGCTGCTTGTGTGCTGCTGGCTGATTCAGCTTGTGTGAATCCATGTGCAGTGGACACAGGGCACTGGCTTTTCCCAAGGGCAGGCAGAGTGTTCTGTGTGGGGCCAGGGGCTCCTTGGAACCTCTGCTCGCCCCATAGAAACATCCTATTGCCCCAGGGCAATGGTTCTGGACCTTCCTAGTGCCGAGACACTTCCCTACAGTTCCTTATGTGGTGGTGACCCCCCAACCATCACATTATTTTCATTGCTACTTCATCACCGCGATTTTGCGACTGTTATGAATCAGACAACCCCTGTGAAAGGGGTCACAGCCCACAGGTTGAGAACCACAGCCCTAGGGGGTCAATGGGCCACCTCAGCCAGCCGTTTCAGACTTTGTGCCCAGATTCATGTTGCCCTGCTGAACTTGGCAAACAAAAAGGCAGGGCCTTTGGGTTGTGCTTATGATCTTTGAACCAGTTATCTTCAGAGTCATAAACCTGTTTCACTTGCCTATAAAAGCCACTCTTGCCAACACCTTCTCCGTGCATCCTGCTCCTTGGCGTTCTACGCACCCTGCCAGGCTGAGCCGGAAGCCGACACCATGACGAAGGACCAGAGCGGCACCTGGGAGATGGAGAGCAACACCAACTTTGATGGCTACATGAAGGCCCTGGGTAAGGGGACGGGCGGGGCGGAGGCTGAATGGGGGCTCTGGGAGACCGGGGCTGGTCTCAGCAGCGCCCCGGTGGGACTGCCTCATGCCAGGGGCAGATCCCGGCCCTCATTCACCAACCAAGTAGGTCACACAAGTTCTGCCAGGTTCAAATTTCTCATCTGTCAATTTGGAATAATACCAAATGCAATTATGTCTAGAATATCCTTAGCACAGCGCCGAGAGAACATCCACTAAAGAAAGAAGAGAGAGAGAGAGAGAGAAACTTAAGAACATAATGCAGCCACTCACAAACTGATTCTGGTATCATCCATGAATGATCCCTGCATTGCCCTTTGTCAGTCTTGTAGTGGAGAAGAAAGTAGAACAGGAGCAGCCAACGAATTTAAGCCTGGAAAAAAAATAATGTTTACAGGCTCAGGAGGCTTTTGTCATCTACAAGGATGAGTAAAAACGAATTGCTACTACGGTTTCCGTTCCTCCATGCAAGGGTTTATTCCAAACAATCTGTGTTTCAACCAATCTCTGCGACCAGCGGATGGCTGTAGACAAGTTCTCTCAGCCACACACAGGCTGTAGTTGCTTCCTGTGTCTTCCAAAAAAGGGGTCACGGCAACGGTGACTTCGGAGGGTCTCTGCTGGGCCAGCTGAGGCCAAGGCAGTGAGGTCAGCTCAGAGAGTGAGCGCTTCTGTGGTTCCCAAAGGAGGCCCGCTGGTAAAATGGGCGGTGATGGGGCTGCTACCCACAAGTTCAAGTCCACCCTCAGGCCCGCCCTCAGACCCACAGGAGAGAGATGAGGCTTGGGCTCTTGTAAAGATTGATCGTTTTGGAAACCCACGGGCAGTTTTACTCTGTCCTATGGGGTCGCTATGATTTGGGATCGACTCAATGGCAGAGGGCTGTTTTGAGTTTGTTTTCTTTGGTAAAGGAACAGTCTTAATCACAGACACTTATTTTGAAGATGTTTTAAGAAAATTGAAAAGTGCATTAGTGAGAAAAAGACCAGGAAGCTGACAGAGGAGATTTTGTCCCCTCATGACAAAACACTTGTCACTCTTGTGGGGTCTCCAGGGCTGTCGTGTGATGGCTGCCTTGAGCCCTGCACCCCACCCACCCTCCAGCCGCAATCTTATCTTTGGAGGTCTCTGTTTCCCCTCCAAGCTCAAAGAACAGTTAAAGGAACAGGATTTGAGTCCCTGGAGGATGCCCAAACTCCCACTTTGTCGAGGTATAAATCAAAGAGCACAGGAGACTTGCAGAGATGGAAATACCACCATCAGAAATGTATAGTCCTAGATGGGTATATGTGGAGAGACCATAGCTTGACATTTCGATATTTTTGTTTATGCAAAGTTTCTGTAGCACTACATTTTGTAGCACTACATTCTGACACCCTTGTAGAGGAGACTGCCAACCTGGCTTCTGAAGTAGCTTCTAGGGCACTGAGCTGCTTGCTTCAGGGGGTGACTGCAGGGCGGGTCTCTGTGGGTCTGGCTGAAAACAGGCCTGTCGTCCAGGCTGCCGGCAGTGCTGGAAACCAGAAGAATTTCTGGGCAGCCACTGGGTGCCAGGCACTGGGCGAGGAGTGCTGACCGCCTGCCCTTGTGGCACCCCTGCAATGGTCTCACTGCCCCTGCCTTGTAGATGGAGAAGACGCTCCCTCAGCCCCTTTTCCAGCACTGAAGTTCTCCGTGTGGTTTTACCTCCTTGGGGCTCCCTTTTGCACTGTGATCAAAAGCGAGATCTGAGACCCAATTATGTGGATACAATGGTGGGAGGTCTGAGAACAGAAATCACCTGGCTTTCTGTGTCATTCATTTCTAGACTATTTGAACAAGGAGAGCTATGGCATGCTTCACAGTTTAGAATTTGGAGTTTTCTCCCCCTGCCTGAAACAGATTTCCAAGAGGGAATAGTTTTCTTTGTCCACCGGGCTTTCAGAATGTTATCCCTATATTTGAAGAGAACTTCAAAAAGCTCAAGGGAAAATCCTATCATCCTTTAATTCCATTTCCCATGACCTTTTGGAAACCTCTTTATACTCGGGAGGGGAAGGGGCTGAAGTCAAAACGTCCCTACCAGATCCACCCTCCAACCACATTGTCCTGTAGTTCTTCAACACCATGGTGACCAGCGGAAATGAAGTCCTGGTTCTCCATGTGGCCAATTGGTTTAGAGCACAGCTCAGCACTGTAATTCTGAGCAATATTAGACAGACGAGGAGACCAAACAGGGGGACCAAGACTTGCTGAACGACATTGAAGAGTTGATTTCATTCTCTTCCTGAACCTCAGTTTCCTCATCCACCACATAGGGTGAAAGGCGCCAGACTCACTTGTTTCTCTGGATGGTGTTGGATGCAGTTGTCATTCCGAACCGGGGAAAGCACTTTAACCAGGGTGATCGGGCGGTTTCAAAGTACTAGCAGTTTGCTGAGGAAGCCTGTCTCAAAGAATAGACCAGACAACAACTGTGTCTTTCGCTGCTTCTTCAAGGCTTCCTGACTCCCAAGAAAGTCTGAGCCCTGGTGTTGCTGTGGCTAGTCATTGGGATGCTAACCACCCAATTCAAATCAAGCCCCCGTGCTGCTCTGTGGGAGGCAATGAAGGCTGTGTGTGTGCTCCTGCACAGATCTGCAGTCTCTGAAAACTGTGTCACTGTGAGTGAGAATTGATTCAGTGGCAGCGGTCTCTTTCTGATGGTGACTGTAGAAGCCCCTGGATGGTCCCAAGGTGCCCTGGTGGCGTAGTGGTTACAAGTTGGGTTGCTTAACTGCAAGGCCAGCAGTTTGAAACCACCAGCCAGCTCCACAGGAGAACAATAAGGCATCCTACTCCTGTGAAGGGTTACGGTCTCATGAGCGCACAGGGCGGTGCTAGCCCGTCCTACAGGGTCGATATGAGTCAGCATCGAGTTGGTGACAGTGAGCTCGGCTTTTCTTTTTGTTGTTGCTGTTGTCTCTTGAAGCTTCAGCCAAAGCCTCTGATATCCTGTTACTTTGATTCCCCTCTGATGAACCTCTGACCTCTTTGTACCAGGGTCTCTGCAATGTCCCTGATTAAGATCAGATTATAGGGGGGCATTCTAGTTTATTGCAGAATGTGGAGATGCTTGTGCCTCAATTTACCCAACAGCTAACTGCTCATGGCCTCTCAGGGCTCCAGGAACGTGCTCCACCTCCAGGCGAGACTATGTGCCAGAATAATCTTCCTGCCATTGAGACTGGACCCCGACCCTCCCACCTGTCCACAGGGGCAGAGGCGGGCAGGGCCGAGCAGTGTGATTGAAGATAGGTCTCAAGGGCTCAGCCAGAAGCAGCCATGGGGGTGGGAGTGAGGGCTGGGAGTGGGGGCTGCCTCCTCCATGTGACCAGCTAGCACAACCCAGCAGATGGAGGGATTTCTCCCACGCTCCGGCCACCAGGCTGGAGAAGTCAAGGAAGCTTGCTTTCCTTGCCCCTTTCAGTCCTGAACCCTTTGATATTGTGGAAGAACACGAGAGGACCCGAAAATCCCAGGATGTGTAAATACCTCTGAGTGTAACCCCATTTCCTGCTTCAGTACCGTCCCTTTCTGAGCGCTTTCAGTGTCACCACCAGCCCTGGAGAGGCGGCTTTCCCTGTGGACCCACCTGTGGGCTCAGTTGGGAAGGAGCGGTTCCTGAAATTCAGGTCTGGGCAGTACCAGGCCTTCCCAGAACCTAAATGACTCACACCTCACACTGGCCGCCCACAGCAGAGTGACAAGTCAAAGCAACCTTTGGGTGTGCCCCAAATGATCACAGCCAGTAAGTGTGCTAAGTATAAGCGCCAAAGGTCTTCCTCTCCTGCTTCTTAGACACCTGGTGTTTTAAAAGGTCCTACACGCTTTCTGAGCAGCAAGGAAACCAGCTGGTGTGCTTTACCCTGGGCAATGCCGTGTCCTGAGGGTCTTCTTCAGTGGAATCAGGGTTAAGGGGTAGACAGGGAGGTCTTTATTTTGAAAGGGAAGCTGAGGAGAGCAGATAGATGAGCATGAGGTGCCAGTCCGGTGGCAGGACAGCTTGGGGCATGGGGTGAGGCTGCTGTGCATGTTCAGGTTCAGCTTCACTAACAAGGCTCTGGAGCAGCCCATGGAGACAGAAGCAGACCCGGTTTCTGTTCTCAGCACGCTCACGAATGGGCAGAGGTAGACCAGTCCAGCCACAGTCACAGGTAAAGGGACTTTAGTTTCAAGTGGTGTTTACCAGAAGTCTAATGTCTTGAAACAACAACCCCTGACCAAACTTGTTGCCATGGAGACCTTGCTGACTCAGAGGGCTCCCCTGCAGGCTGCCAGTCTTTCTCCCACGGGGCTGTTGGCGTTTCAGAACTGCCGCCCACACGAACCGCAGCTCACCGTAACCAGGGCTCCACCAGGGCTCCCCAAACAACATTATTGTCTCTCACACTCTGGGACCGACTGGAACGATGAATCCTCACCTCGGTTACCGGTGATTACAATCCCATTTGAGAGTGGGTTTTCTTTTTTACATTAACGAGCCATAATTAGTGTCTAATTAAACTCCTTTGAGGTAGAAAAGAGATTAAACAGGAGAGGGAGCAGCAGAGGTGTGGAAGGGAGCCTCCGAGCCACATGAGGACCAGACGCAGACGTTCAGAGGAGACCAGGGCCTCCTTTCAGAACTTACTGAGAAAGCCAGCCTTCCCCGAGAGCAGCGATCCTCAACCTGTGGGTCGCGACCCCTTTGGGGGTCGAACAACTATTTCACAAGGGTCACCCGATTCATACCAGTAGCAAAATGACAGTGATGAAGTAGCAATGAAAATAATTTTATGGTGGGGGGGTCACCACAACCTGAGGAACTGTAGGAAAGGGTCACTGCATTAGGAAGGTGGAGAACCACTGCCCGAGAGCCTGCCCCCAGAATTCAGACTTCTAGCCTCCTGGGCTGTGAGAAAATGCATTTCTGTGTGTTCAACCCATTCATTTGCAGTATGTCTGTTGGGGCAGCACGGGGCA